TACAGACCTACAGACCTACAGACCTACAGTCCTACAGACCTACAGTCCTACAGACCTACAGACCTACAGTCCTACAGACCTACAGTCCTACAGTCCTACAGACCTACAGACCTACAGTCCTACAGACCTACAGTCCTACAGTCCTACAGACCTACAGTCCTACAGTCCTACAGTCCTACAGACCTACAGTCCTACAGTCCTACAGACCTGCAGTCCTACAGACCTACAGACCTACAGACCTAAAGACCTACAGACCTACAGACCTACAGTCCTACAGACCTACAGACCTACAGTCCTACAGACCTACAGACCTACAGACCTACAGTCCTACAGTCCTACAGACCTACAGTCCTACAGTCCTACAGACCTACAGACCAACAGACTTACAGTCCTACAGTCCTACAGACCAACAGTCCTACAGTCCTACAGACATACAGTCCTGCTCCCTCAGCTCTCTGGCCTCAGTCTGACCTCTCAGCAGATGGTAAAGCAGAGGACGATGATCCAGCAGGACGTGGACTCAGACAGTGACAGCTCTAACCTTTAAGGTMTCATCTTGGACACAGGATCTGTCAGATCAACAAGCTGGCTGCTGCTGTGAGGTCCGGACCTCCCAGAGACCTCCGTGCTGGACCKGAGTGACTCCACTGGGATTAAAGGTGCAGACAGAGACCTGAAACCTGAAGTCTGCAGCGTGTCTGCAGGTGAAGAAGAAGGGATGCTGGATGGATTAGAGGAGTGGACCGAGCCTGTTGATGTCGGGTGTTGACAGATGACTCACCAGAGATGGTGGGAGAACCGAGCCATCTGGTCCACCCTCAGACTGGCAGGACTCGGGTCTGATCGCAGATTAATAACCTTCTACAAAAACAGCCTCAGTGAGGTCATCCATCTTCTGTTTAGTTTATTCAGCAGCTTCTGATCTCCAGGGACTGGAGGCTCTGTGGTTCCAGCAGCATCTGCTGAACACGGAGGAAAAACCAGGACAAAGTGGCTCAGCGCATTTTCATCTTCTCAACATTTGGAGGGAAATAAGTAAAGCTGAGAAACACGGTGGTCAGGAAACACAACAAACATATTCTTACTTTAACCTGAAGACAAAAACAAAGGATTTATTTCTGAGACAAACATCAGTTTGTTCTGAATGTTTCCTGCTAATTCAGAACAGTTTTATTAATCTGTTTTACTGCTTTTATTTGATATTTAAAATGATTTAAACACGTTCAGGAAATAAAAAGTCCAGAGAGCACCAACCAGGACTTACTACTGACGTTTGTTCTTCTGAAGCACAGAACAAAATCTGAGGCCTTTAAGACATGTGGTGGTCACCTCAAGGTGAAATAAACACTTCCTGTCTTTGACCTTGGTCCCAGAAGACCTCCTTCAAAGAGACAGAAGTCTGTTCCATTTAAAGCCATAACAGGTCTTATTATAGAGATTCTTAACCTGTGGGCCGTGAGCGCCACCTTCAGGGCCTCAAAAGAACAACAGTTTTTAAC